GGGGGGGGGGGGGGGGGGAGGAGAGAATGATGGGGTTAGTGAAAGGGAAAGAAAAGGGGGAGAGGTAGCGAAGTCGGAGGGAAGGGTCAGGGGTAGCATGGCGAGAAGTTTGGGAGGGGTGTGGGAAAGGATGGAGTGGAGGATCCATGGTAGGGAAGGGTATACCGATCAGTTTCTTTTACCCCACAGATGGCGGTACATTCCCCTCAGGATCCCGTCTCAGTATGAGGTATTCAGGAGACAAGATGAAGACAAGATGAATTCCATCCAGGGGAACCAGGTGTGGGCAAAGGGTATGGTGGTATTTTTGATTGAGCTTGTGAGGTCTTCCATTAGGTAGATGTCTTGTATGCGGTCCAAGACCTGGCCAATATGGGGCGTTGTAGTTTTCTTCCACAGTGGGGGGATACATGCCCGTGCCGCATTGACGACGTGTTTGAGGAGTGAGCGGGTGTAAGAGCGGGTCGGAATGGAGTTGTGATGTAGTAGGAAGAAAGTTGGGTCCTGGGGCACCTGGTGCTCCATGAATCTCTGGGCCAGGGTCCATACCTGGTCCCAGAACTGCCTGAGAGCCGGGCACAACCAAAAAATGTGAAGCATGTCTGCCGTTGGTTGCTGGCAGTGCCAGCAACAGAGGTCGGGAGTGTCTGGGAATAGCGAGTGTAGTGTTTGCGGAATGCGGTACCATCGGGACACTATCTTGTAACCCGATTCTTGGTATCTGTTAGTTATGGACGAACGGTAGGATAGTGATAGTAGTTTCTCCGCATCGTCCGGAGTAATGCAAATTTGGAGATCCTCCTCCCATTTCATCAGAAACCACAGTGGGGTGGGGGGTTGGATAAGTAGCTGGTAGCAGAAAGAGAGAGTGTGGCGTGGGGGTCCTTCTTGGGTGCAAATTTGCTCAAAGGTGGTGAGGGGTCTGTTTAGGTGGCTCGCGGCGGGGGCTGATTGCAAGAAGTAGGACAGTTGCATGGCCGACCAAAAGTCAAGGGGGCCATAGGCCAGGTGGGTGCAAAGTGCATGGTTAGAGGGCCAGGATTTGCCCTCCAGGATGTGCATGGCTTTGGTCTTGCCCAGTTCCCTCAACGCTGAGTAGGTGTGGGGGCCGACACCAGGGGGGAAAGCTGGATTGTCGAGTATAGCGAAGAGAGGTGAGGGTTGGGGGAAAGGGGTCCCCAAGTGAAAGCAGATCTAGCTATCTTCAGGGTAGGGCCAATGGTAGTGTGTGTCCGGAGATGGGGGTGTAGGGCCGAAGTACACCAAGGTAGATTGGCCAGTGGGACTTCTGACTATGAGTGTTCCAGGGTGATCCAAAGTTTGGAAGGGAGTTTGTGGCACCAGTCAATTATCCGGGTCAGGTGTGTGGCTATATAGTATAGGTGGACATCTGGTAGAGACATTCCCCCATGATGTTTAGGTCTCCTCAGGATGTCATAGCTCAATCTGGCCGGTTTCCGGGACCAGGCAAATGCTGTGAATATCGAGCGTAGCCTGTGGAAGAAGGAGGGGGGAATGGGGATCGGTAGGGCTTGAAGCGGGTAAAGTGAGGGAGAATAGTTTGTTTCAGGATATTACAGTGGCCCATCCAGGAGACTGTATTCTTGGTCCATACTTGTAGGTCTGTGGCTATGCGAGTCAGGAGCGGTGGGAAGTTCAGGGCATAGGCCAGAGTCGGGTCCTTAGGGAGGTGTATGCCCAGGTATTTAATTGTGGTAGGGGCCCATTTAAAAGGGAAATTATGCAATACTCTCCGGAGGCAGGGTCCCGATAGGGAGATATGAAAGGCTTCCGATTTGGTAGAGTTAATTTTGAAATTTGAGAGTGA